ATAAATCTACTCAGTACTTTTGTGATATAACCCTGAGAAGGCAGCTGGCTAACTTTAGAGACCCAGTACCAAAACTGCCTGATAGCGTGGCAAAAACTGTACAACATACCGTGTTGTACAACATTTTCTGTGCAGTACTTTAACTTTAGTGAACAAAAAAACGCTCCTTAAGAACTTTCTGAGCAGACGAACAACTTCAGCTCCCACAACCACCCATGCGTGGTTACCGTCTAACCTCTCCAGATGTCAGTAATCTGTGCACACGGATTGCAGAAACTGAGAGCATGGTTTAGTAATCCGTGCGCACAGTTTAATAATCCATGCACACGGATTTCCAGTGGCTGTTTTTGTTTTTCTCCCACTGACCCCTGGCAGGCTCCGTAGATACACAACATTATTTGTCCACAAATTGGTCCTGGTTAAGGCTCAACAGTTTTTGTCAGACACACTCCTGTTTCAAACATCTCTCACATCTCCATCCATGAGTTTTTGGCCATTCGACTCCAGATTCTAGAAGCAAGTAGGTTTTTTTTTTTTTTGGAAGCGAGTAGTTAAGGCAAAATGCAGCATCTGATCGCTTTTGGCATAAACAAACACGCTCACAAACTTCTGACCAATCTCACAGTAAGTTCTCATGCACAGGGGAGTCAAAGTGTGTCAAAAAGGGGTGGAGGACTCGAAGCTGCAAACTGAATGACGTAATTTTCGTCATGAAACTGAGACAATGAGAGAAGATTTCGTCAGTTCAGAGGGAGTATGTCGAGGCCTTGCAACGCTGTGTTGTGTCTTTGTTGAAGTTTACCAATCATAAAACAGWGGAGGGTTTTAAAGACCCCAGAGCTCGTCGTTTTATTGCCTATTTCCTGTTTCTGATTGAAACTAATTATAAAGTAAACAAAGATTTTATTCTTAGTGGTACAAAAAGCTTCTAGATGATTGTTGTAAGATCAGGACTGACGAGCTTTGCTGTGTTGGTTCATGTGCAACCCCGGACTGTGCAGTGGTCCACCACTGGGGCCACAGCAAGTCCCCTACAAGCTCCAGCCAATGGCTCTTTGAAATTAATCTGCCCTGCGGAGCCCTGTAAGACCCCCTTTGTTGCCTCCTGCAGACTGGATCAGGTCGGAGACGTACTCTCCAGGCTTGACTGGCTATCACTTTCACAGCCCACAGCAATCCACATCCAGGCAGAGGCCCAAGACCTGCAGAGCAACCATCAAATTAAAGGAGGGGGAACAGAGGGGGTTTGAGGGAGTAAATCAGGTGGTGGTGGACCAAAACCTTGTCACCTGAATTCCTTAACAATCTAAAGAAATGTGGTTTCATGTGGTTTTATTAATAAAAAAAAAAAGTAAAAAGCAAAGAATACTGAGGAGGAGGATTTCAACAGGAGCTCTGCCTCTTCATGAACAAAACAGGATCTCAACAAGGCCATTATCTAACTCCTAATTTGAGCTCTGGCACAGCACTGAAGGGCTGCCTTTGTTTGGGATTAATGCGGAAAGCTAAGGATGCGATGTCAGAGGGAAATAATCAGCGTGGGCCCTTCACAACGTTGGCTGCTTGTGCTCCTGGCCAGGACCCCCGGGCTCATTTCTGTGGAGATGAAATCTATGACAAGCCCCTCAGTAAAGCTGAGAGCAGGCAACAGTCCAGTAACACCCACAGGCCTGCAGGCATCCTGTGACCCCCTTAGAAAAGTCACATTCACTTTGCTCTGGAGAAGGGAAAGAGAACGCCGCGGGGGCTTCCAGCCCATGTGAAATGAAGAAATGTGAGGAGGTGAAAACGAAGTGAAAATAAGTTAAGATTCCTCCTCCGCTCCCTCTGCAATAACTCCAGAGGAGGGTCACTCTATGACTTCACTTCATTATGCCTTCTAATTAAACGTATACAGGACATTAAAGAAGGGAAAAAATAGACAACTCCACAATGTATATTCATGTTTATGTTGTGTAACGGCATTTAGGAAAGCCGTTTGGTAAAGCCTTTTTTTTTCTTTCTTTAAATGCAGCAGAAGGTCGCCGACTAATACCCATCAGGGTAAAACATTCTGAAAGAGGTTGGCACTGTACTCAAGGACCAGAAGTAATGTTTTTATTTTGTTAGTTATGCCTTTTTTACCGAGTGCATTACTATGCTCCTCAGCAGCACGTTGCTGTTAAGCGAAGGATGTGAAGATGCAACTGGATAAGCAGGTTATTAAAATGACCAATTGACATTCAAAAATCAGACTTATTTTAGATTCATCATATTTAAAGGAGAATATGTAGATTTTCAATGTTTCTCCTGTCGCCTAAAGACAAATATGACTGCGTACAGCAACTGTGCATAACTTCATGTATACCCATTTGTTGGGAAAATATGATCCTTCAGTCACTGCTCATGGAATCAAGGACAAAAGTCATTTATTGTACCAGCTCAAATAAAAAACAGACCCATCAAGTCACATGAAAGCATGTTATTGTGCTGCTTGTAAAATATATTTCCTGTTAGCTCTTTTTACACAGATTGTGGAAAGTTAGCTTTTAGATTAAGTCTAAACTCAACTAATGCTCAACAGCTTAAAGAGCTTTGTGCTGAAAACACAACCGTTTTCAAAACTAAAGCCAAGTGTTAAACAAAGAGTAACAAAGAGCCTTGTTCACAAGGTATTTCTGTCTCTGGCACCTCCAGAACAATATTATAACATCACACTAATCTGTCACTGCACATAATGCACCTCCATCCATCTATRCAGAAGTACAGTAAGTCAGAGCACCACACAGTCAGGAGTGTAAAAACAAATGGCTGTGACGTAACAAAATCTCAACCTAGATTTAGGTCWGGCCAACTCCAGAAAAGTTATAGATTTTATTCAAAGTCTATTTTCTGGTGCTTCATGCTCTTATTTTGTTGACCCAGCCTAAGATTTTAGGCATTCTGGCAAAAGCTTTAAGTGAGGATCCTTTATATGTTTGTGAAACTATCATTTCATTATCCTGGTTTGTCTTTAAGTTCTTTTAGAATAAAAACTGAAGTATGGAACCACAATGCTGCCATCACTACAAATGATTTAAAAAAATCATCAGAGTTATGAGTCTTGGCTACCTTAACGATTTGATTTCAATTCATCAGTTAACTGGATAAAGATTGATCTAATAGGCCCATTTAAGTAATAAATACAGTATTTCAATATTTATGAGAGACGTTTGTCTCTCACATTTGACTTTCTGTTGAAGTGAATGCAACACCTCAGTTGTTTACAGACATGTAATAATTACTCAAAATAAAATGATGTATAGCAGGGAATACTCAGCTACACAGAGTATTTCAAATTATTTTAGCAATTACTGAGTATACAACTAAATCTACTTTTTTGATGGGTATGAAATTCTAAAATGAGTTCCAAAACAATTTCAAGTGATCCTGCTCCAATGAGCTCTGTTACTGCTGAATATACAGCTGAATATATATGTGACACTGGAGAAATAATACATTTTGAGTCAAACAGATACAGCAGAGCACTCATATTTATCACTGTTTATTACACAAACTGTATTTCATTTGCGGGGAGGATAGGCTGTTAAAAATTACAGACTAAAACTTAAAACCACACACAAGTTTTAGTTCTGCTTATTGAAMAGTTGTAAATTTGTAATATTATTGTTCTAACACAATAAACAGATAATAAAGCTGTGATATGCGCAGTTTTGGTTTTTACATCCATCAACATTTTTTATATATTGTTTTTGTTCTAAATGATATCTTAAACCGAGCTATTTCTGATCCAAGATGCTCTTTGCTGTTAAATCTGAGAGTGGAATCAAAGTGTTTTGGTGTTAAATCATCAAGGCTGGCTGCACCGACATACAGCAGAAGCCCGCTTCAAATCAAAGATAATGGTGTAACAAGATGTGTCGGTGAACACTAATATACTGTGTCAGAATTTATGACATTAGCTTTTAGTCATGCATTAAAACTGGCAGAAAATAAGAGAAAGGACACAAGTGCTGCAAATATGTTGAATTATTATCTAACAGTAGGAAAACTGTGCTTCCAGCATGACTAATCTAGAACTATAATACCACAGCCTATCATCCCAGGAGCATCATGATATAAAACATTATACTGTGTACTACTAATGCAACACATTCAGTTTATTACTATCACAAATGTTCATTATTTTACACCTTTGTGTGAATTGTGAAATCTCCACAACAGAATTGGAATCAATAGAATAGAATAGAATAGAATAGAATAGAATAGAATAGAATAGAATAGAATAGAATAGAATAGAATAGAATAGAATAGAATAGAATAGAATAGAATAGAATAGAATAGAAACAGCCAGGGGAAATTCAGGCAGCAGCATATTTATAGGTCCACACAAAAAGTTGTAAAGTGTTAAAAACAATATACAAGAAATAAGAGTAACAATAGCAGTGGTAATAATAAGATAAATATAATACATTACTTTACAAGGCAATAACAACAAATATTGTGCAGTATTGTGACTCAGGAGAAAATTCTGCAAAATCAGCACTGCTCAGAGAATTTCACCTAAAGTTCTGATCAACTGCTGGTAATCAGAAATGTAATGTTTTACTTAAGTTTTATTTTCCAACCATTTCACTTTGAAATGTATTACAGTCAGAAATTACACATCTGTAAGAAACTRTCACCAAAAAAATGTCCAAATGCAGACTTAAAAAGAACACTGTTACTGTGGAGTATAAAACTTTTCACAAAGCAGATTTTCATGATTCCATTGACAGAATTATAAATATGCAGGAAAGAGTTATGGAGTCAAAGTCAGACCGAGTTGTGTTGTGATACCAAAATGTTATTAGCCCTGATTTGTCTGACCTCTAAATTATAAGATGAGAAAAGCTAGGCTCGTTGTTTTTTCTTGAAAGATTTGAGCCAAAGTTGTTGCTGAAGCAGATGCTGTTAAGGGAGTCTAACAAGCCATGTGATAATGAAAAACAGAGAAAAGAAAGTCATTGTCTGATTCTTACCTCAGTCCCCGATGGTGTAGTCCCTGGTGAGTCCAATTTACGTTTTTTTCTGGGTCCAATGAAGGCTAGTGCTGTGAGATTGGCATCCCGTTGTCTCATCTGTGCCTCTTCTTGTTGTTGCATCTCATAGACAGAAGACAAAAAGGAGAAAACTTATCCTTCACTTTAAATGTCATTTTGGTCTGCCACAGTACAAGTTTAGACATATGTGCACATTTTAAATATGCACCAATCAAGCCTAAGCTATTTATACAATTTAAAAAAATATAATACAATTCTACAGTCATTTCCCCTAAATAATGATGCCTGCAGGATTGTTGACAACCTTAATGTTTTAGTYGTCGATTAATCGATTAATCGTTGCARCCCTAGGTGGGGGAAACCGGAGTACACAAGCAAACTCTGCACAGAAAGACCCCAGGTCCGAAACAGGGATCGAACCCAGGACCTTCTTGCTGTGAGGCATCGGTGCTAGCCTGCTGACGGAAAAAGAAGCAGCAGTAGAATCAAATATTTTTAATTAAATTACGGAACTATAATTCCTTTTTCTCCCCAGCCTTGCCCTTTGTAAGCAGAAAACATGTTTTATTATGGAAGTTGTCAGCCATTTAAAAAGCCCCACCTAGTGATTGTGTGTGTGTGTGCACTCCCAGGCTCTTGTTTTGATTTTTTTCAGTTTGTGATGTATAAATTGGTCATTTGTGAAGGGGGTGTACACTGCCCAAGGTAATGTCATGTTTTGCTTTAGGGCTGAGGGTGAACTCAGTGTCGCTGGGAGCTGCCCTTTCTATTGGGCGGAGGTGTGAGAGCCTGGGGCCTGAGCATGTAGGGTGCCAGTCCTCCCAACATGCGAACACAATGCCCACACACGCACACACATACACACTCACAGAGACACGCATACACATGTCTATCAATCCTGGCCACAGAACAGGGAATGCCTGCCCACCAGCTTGCCTGCGTGCCTGCCTGCTGGGGGAGAGAGGCCTGGGTTTGTTGGAGAAAACAGGGACAATCAATGTGCGCCTTGATGTCTTTCATGTTCTTTTATGTTATCTCTCAGCATGTGTTCGCTGGGCTCTGGTGTTTGCGTGGGGCACGTACGTTGTCTGATCGGGGGAAAATTTCATGTTGCTTTCAGATGGCGCTCTGTAAAAGGTTGCTTTGGTGTACAAAGTCGGATCTAAAATGTGCATGCAGTTGCCTCTGATTTTTTTCCCCTCAAAACCCCGCTGGCAAGGCATGCCCTTTAGGGTGTTGCCACTTCACATTTAGCACGGCGGAACTGTTGAAAGATTCAAACACRCTGACAAAGAAAGGGGAAATAATAGCAGCTGAATACATCAACCATATTTATTTGTCCTTTTTTACAATGAACAGCAAAAATATGAATATACTTACAACATATATTAATAAATAAAAATGACAAACAAGTGCGTTCAGTGAATTCTCGCTGTGTTTTGTTCAGACTCCTATGCAGGGAGACACATGAGTTACAAACTAAAGATTGTGGCTGAATGACCGTTACTCCTGTGACATGGAAAACGAAAGCCTAATGTTATCAATRCTGATCGTTTCTAGCTTTTCCACAAATAACCCACAAATCTCTTAAGGCCTAACCTTAAAGAATCTTTTCCTAACAGTGTAACAGCAGTGGCAGAGCGACAATGAGAGAGAGAGAGCGAGAGCGAGAGCGAGAGCGAGAGAGAGAGAGAGAGAGAGAGAGAGAGACGTCATCTCCCCGATGGCACCGTGATGCCAGCGTCTCTGGCTGGCAGTTGGCACCAGGCATGGGCTCGCACCGCCCACAGCAACTGCCCGCATTTTCAGATTTACGACTGTATGATAAACGACGACTCCGTGTCACCATCTGCGAGCCTTCGTTTCTTGTCAGTAAAGTGGTCGCCATGACACTGGGAGACAGATTTCTGATTTCAATCTGGCGCCTAAACACAGAGTCTACTTTTCTTTTTCAAACCACCTTTACAGCCATGTGAAATTCACGCAAAATATCATTTGTTAGACAAACTCAAGTGAACAAACGGTATGAAGCAATAAGCTGCTAAATCGACTGTTGAGGTGTACTGTTTGGTGGAGACACTCGTTCCTTTTTTTTTCTTTTTTTAACATGTCATTATTGCGTTAACGCAGCTGATGATCAATGACAACAATTATTTTAAAGCAGTTAGTGTTTTTTTTAGATTGTTACTCACTGGTCTATGAACACACACACAGACAAATGCAGTGGTCATAATGGGGGCAGGATATTGATCTCTATTGGCTTTAGATGGCCATGATTGCACATCTTAACCAATGAGAGCCTTTGTTGTTGCCTAGCATCGCTTACGTGAGAAAATGAGCACAAAACAGAAACATGGAGGAACACACTGGACGTTTCCATGAGCATTTTTATTTCAAAACTCTTCTCTTCTTTGAAAATKAATTGAACATTTGCTTACAATACAAAATGCTTAATATAAAGTATCTTTAATAATGAGATTATTTGTGATTAATCTAAAAATATATTGAGATTAATCAAGATTAAAATTTTTATCTATGCCCAGCACTAGTTTTTTTTTCATACACTCTTTGAACTTGCAGCTATAAAATAGTGCAGCATAAYTGATATAAGATAATGTTTTTTAAGCATCTTTGTGACATTTTGGAATGTTGCAGAGAAACAAAATGAACCCACAACTGTGACATGCATTTACAATAATCTCTCTGTACCTTCTTGAAGCAGCCCGTTACCAACATTAAGCAACAAAGTACAATCATTACAAACAACAAGACAAAAGGTCATAACTGAGAGTTGTCCCAGACTTGAAGAATAATCACCTGGCAGGATGCATACATTTGCCAGCTCCGATCAATGGTATCACATAACTACCTGCTGAGCGAAAGTCACCTAAATACCAGTGCTTCCAGTCCGCCTTGGTGCCCTTTGAAAGGAGGGAACTAAGACTTGTAAAGTCGTATTATTAGCAAAGGTCAGGAGATGTAGAAAAATTGATCTGCAGCGTTGTTAGAAACAGGGTTTAGTCTGTTTGCCTGAAGCGAAATTTTATATGACAACTTTGTGGTCAATGTGTAGAGTATGGAGTTAATGTTCTTAAAGACATGCAGAGTTATCAACACAAGTTTATTAGTTAACTTGATGTTAATATGGTGGGGATTATGTCCTGAAAGACTTGTCCAAAAAAAGAAAAAAAAACTCAAAACTAAATTGAAAAGAATAAAACAACTGATATTATTTGAGGGTAACAAAGTTTGATTAAATTAAAAAGTTAAATTTATTTTTGACAAAAATCTACTGCATCAGAGGTGGCGAAAACAAAGAAATCTTTAAAATTAATATTCAACTCCTCCCTATTAGAAGACTGAAACTGTATATAAATATCTCTTTATAGAAAACATTTGCAATGCATAAAAATACATTTTATTCAACTTTCTTAATTTCTTCATTTGTCCTAGTTTACTTCCCTAAACGTATTGTAACTTTACAAATTGTGTTTACATAATTCAAATTAAATTAGTAACCGTAAAATATTCCTATTACCTAAAACAACATTTTCATTTATTCATCTTAATATTAACATATTCAAACATTAAGCACTTTTTCTTTAACATTTCTATTCTTCAGGTTTATTGTTAAAAATACTAACACAAAGATTAAAACAAGATGAGGACAATGCATGAAAATGAACACAGTGTTTGTGTGAATAGTCAGATCATCTTGACGGTATAGCTGTTTCTCTCGTCTTGATTTATTTACAAGTCTATCTTCAAGCTCTGCACTTGTACTCTAAATAAATATGAAAAAAGGCTTTCAAGACTAAAACAAGAAATAACAGCAGYTTTTTTTCTATCTCTCTCACACAGAGAAAAGAGCAGTATGTTCCCTTATGATGCAAAAATGTCCAAAGAACGGCAAGAACCTTTCTGATTTGCTTGGAGTGGAGAGGAAGATGAGCTGTAGGAGCCGTGATGGCCAACCTGCCGTTCTTCATCACTGCAGCTTTTAACAAAGGCTTTGCTCTCCACTCCTATTTTGCTTCTGGCCTGGGGGGCTGCTTGCGGCTGTCCAGACGCTTACAGACAGATGTCCTTGGTAGAGCAGAACATSCCCAGCTTGACGTCACAAACAGCTACAGGGTTGTGAAGGAAGCTAAAGGGCTGTCTGCCTTGCAAAGATCACAGTATATAAACCTGGCTATAGGTTTTGAATTGATCTGTCTCATAACCTCCCCCTGAAAATCTGCAGTAGAATAGGTCACAGCAGGTTGCTACTTAGTATCCAGATATGATGCTACATTTCTTACATGCTTTTAAGAGCTTTATTGGAATACACACATTTTAAGTGAGATTAGGCAGGTTCAGCAGGGGTAAATTATATTACCATGGCTCCTACAAGAACAAAAAAAAGGTGAACACAATGAAGACGGTCACTAGATATATCTGTTTRCGTCATGCAGTTTGTGTGTTATATTTTCCCAGAAGGTTTAGTATCTGCTGGACGACAGATYTGCACAGTTATAACAAAGCTTCAGGCAAAATCTGTCTGATTTTCAAACCGCATGTTGACGACGATGAGTTAAGAGTTCAGAAGAACTGTTCACCGGGATAGAAATGTATAAAAAATATAGAGCGTTTTCTTCTAATAACAACACAATATTAATACATGGCGGTATCTGATGTTTGTTCWGAACACAGCTCCGATCTAAATCTGCTGCTGGAGATGAGCCGCAACAGTATGTTAAATTAACACCAATAATAATAGTATTCGGTGTCAGCAGGGTAAGACAAAGGCTTGGAAAAAGAAACTGGCTCCTTATCAACTSATTAATTGAAAGAGAGAGAGAGAGGAAGAAAAGTGAGCGACTTGATTTGTAACCAGAATCCCCAAAACTGTGTCTGCTGYGACTGCAATATTCTGGCATGAAGAACACACAGGTTTTTGTATAAAAAGGATAGGATGTCTCACTGGCATCCATGTCAGGTGGGTGTCATATCATACTGTTCATGATAGCACCGGTATAACTTTTGATGATTAAAAAGAACTGCATAGTGTGATAGCAGTTCTATGACGACAAAATGTATTTACATTACGTTCACAAATAAATGTTTCCCTTCAATACAGTGAACCCCRCAAAGTTGCATTTTACGTCATGTRGGCCTTTGGTAGTTTGCGGTAATCCACGTAATATMGTGAAAACTGGAAATACATACTGTATGGAACGTCTAATTATTTTTCCTCTCGTGCTTTTTTGYGAGTTTTTATGGTAAAGTATTAAAATTAAACAATACAGTTTACTAATTTTGTAGCATAAATATTAGCGTAAATTGGATTCCTTAAAAATAACAATACAGTACAGTATGTGCCCTGTACCCTACCCCTTAATTGGAGCGCAGCGTTACAGTACGGTGTGGTGCATAGCTGCTAACTATTTAGCTCTCGTGTGTTTTTTGTTTGTTTGTTTTTTTGTTTTGTTTTGTTTTGTTTTTTTTTGGTTCTTACTGCATTACAATTCCACCCCCAAATGG